TAGCCAGAATATAAGAATTAAAAATTCTCATTAGGTTAATAATTGCATCTAGCAAAAATTTAGCAATATTGAATGAATGCAATGTTTTATGAACTTCTGGTTCATATCATTATATTTAAGAATCTACATTTGATAGTAAAAATATATTTTAGGTGTTTTATTTTTCAACTACTCATTTTCTCCCCCTCATATTAGGAACATGCAATATAAGCCTCCTAAATTCATCTAAATACATAAGAAGAAGGGGGTATATTGATCACAACTTACTTTTAATATCTATGTGCATTATTATAGTGGAATAATATATTACACATTATAAGATGGAAAATGTTTGGCTCCCAACCAAGCTAATTATAATAGAAGAATTCACAATACATTGTTAGCTTGATGCATTTATATGCAGAAATATATAAAATCAATCATCTCAACACCAAAACGGGAATTTTGTTCTCATAAGCTTTAATCTAGCTACTTATGAATGCTTTTACTAAGCATATAATTACTAATAAGTTGAGAAACAATCACTAGTTATTTCAAAGGGAATCATACCAGTTGCATAATCTAAGACTTATGCACCCAATGCAATTATTTGAATATATTTGCAAATTTTAAGTTGCAAGTTGATCATAAACGCCTATGTCACCATTTTATAGATGCATCTTTCATTCATAAGGTATTAACTTGGTCCACATGGTGCCTAAATGGTCTCATATATAAACTTGATACATTATGTATATGCATGGATAAGATTTCAAGCACAACTAGTGATGTTCTCTTATTTAATTCTTTTGAGAATAAGTAGGACATAAATGTCAATGCATATTCTTAATAATTTGCATCATTATGATTTGGACTAGTCATGCCAAACATTAAACATATAAACTTCAAGTTCATTATAATATTATTCTCAAACATTGATAAACTTCTGCTTATCAATAGAGATAACAAATCATGATATAACTCTTCTAGAGTCTTATATTCTCATCTTTTACCCAATGAGAGAAACACGCGCATTGTAATATTATTCTCAACTATCAATAGTGATAATAAACCATGATATATGTAACACCCCATCCAAAAATTTGCATACTTAATGTCCCACCAATACTCATAAGAGCTTAGGTATTTTTTTTTCCCAATGACATCTGCTCAACTCAAAAACCAAAAGCATTGAAAATGATAAAGAATAGTTTTTGAAATACTTTAATCAACAGCGCAGCAATTAGTTTCTAGAGTCATGACAATTAGATATAATCACAATATGTTCTTAAGAAGCACAACAGAGCCCTCAAGGCTTACTCTTTTAGTGTCTTCCCTTGATTCCTATTAAAATATTTGCTTGAAAAGGTGTTAAGAAAAGTGTAGTGACCACTAATGTCTCAGTAACTCAGAGTTTTGCCATGCACATACAAACTTTCACACACAAGCAATCATTATTTGGTATATATACAATTACTGAAATACTTAAATAATCATCAACAAGCAATATAATTAAAGTTCATAATAATCATATGTATAATATGCCTATATGCAATGGATGCTTCTTTCCTTATTGCTTATTCTAACATTATTCCGTTGACTGAAACCATAGGCTTATCCACGATCTGGCCCACGCATTAGACTGACCAAAGCTACTCTAGTATTTGAGCTGTACCCGGCCAAGGGTATAGAACCCAAGCTTAGATTATGGATCCCCTCCTGAACAATAAACTAGGAGGTGTCACAATCCCATATTCCTCCTCTACAAATCTAGCTGGGTAAGTATTAAAGAATAGGGCCCTAAAAAGGCCAACCACAGTGCGCACAGTGGTGGCAAACCACGTGGTTACATCATATCACATAAGTCGGCATCGTAAACCCCTTTGTTGCCCAATCACCAATGCATGTTATGCATATGATTATGAAGTAACTCTAGCACATACAAGCATGCTTGAAAGAAATAAAACACCATAAATTTCCACAACAATAATCATAATATAGAAAAATTGCTTAAAAGAAATTAAAGTAGTAAAACAAATAACACAATCATAACCTCTTACCTTTTCACAACCTCAACAATATGCTTGTATTAGTTAAGCAGATTGAGTTTTATATATTAAAAATCTACATACATTTAATCATTACAAACAAGCTGGCACATACACAAAAAAACCCCAAGTTACCTGCTATCATTTAGCTTGCAGGAAGTCAAATACCAAAGTCAAGTAATAGAAGCTCTCAATAATAGTCTAAAAAAAGCATACGTAGGAAAAAAAAAGTAATTTATAATCTCAATTCTACTTAAAATTATCTTAAAGCTACTCTAAAGTTATTTTAAAGCCATTCTAGAGAACACAAAATGAATATTTATTAAGTTTTCATCATTAAAATTTCATAATTTTTTATTTTTAATTAAATTTATACTAATACATACTTACAATTTACTAAATATGGGTGACGAGAAATTGATGTTCATTATTTCTAAAAACATAACAGGATAATATATATATATATATATATATATATATAAAAGAAGTAAGTAATCAATGTGATCGTTTCAACATAAGAAGAAGTTATGATTGGAAATACACACACCCCCCATCGTATTTGGAGGTATCCCCATGATAAGGTTTGATAATGTTGAGAATAAAAAGGCTATATAAATATATAGTCTAAAAATTTAATGACAGCCAAGAAACCCAATTTTATAAATACAAGGACTCGAATAAATATTTGACATAGTGGATTTTCTTTTTGAATTTATTAACAAGAGGACAAAAGAATTATGAAAAGCATCAGTAGATATAGGGCTATGATGATAGAAAGTTAAGAAGTATGTTGAATCTATATCTATATGTATAGATAAAGTTTGAATGAATACTACTAGCACTGTACTTATAATGTAAAGGAGGAAAAATTCTTAGATAAATTGATATAAGTATCCTTTGAGACTAACAATATCTATTTGACAAAGAGATGAGGAAATAGCTTGTTGCCGACCCACAACATTTGGCAGAATGGAGAAAAGTGTCACCCATGTTATTTGTAATTTATGAATAGAAAAATAATGCTTAGTGCTAGAGCTGGTAATATGTGGGCCCAACCCGCTAGCCCACCAAAAATGGCGGGCTTCGGTTGGCATTTTGCCAACTTGCACCGTTTTTAGCTCACTCCGCCGAGGGCTAACCCTCCTTTTTTTACTTCTTTTTATGAAATTTCCATTATATTATATAATATAGTTATATAAACTATATTATATATGTGTATAGTTATATAAACTATAAAGAGCATCATCATCTATCTTTTATTTTTCATCTATTTGTCGATACTATATACACCTTCATAAGATTAAATAAACATGTGATGCTTATATATATACACACACATACGTAAAAGATCTACTTAATTAATTTGAATAAGAAAACTAGTTAAATTAATTATTTATAAAAAATATGCGTTAGTTTTTCTAAAATATCTTCTTAAATTATAAATTAATCCTCATATTATTTTATTACAACCCACTACTTAAGTTCAAGACTCCAAATCTAATTTTGACATTTCAAACTAAGTCCAATTCATATAATAATAGTTTTTAAAAAAAAAAATTAGGCGGGTTGGTGAGCTCGGGCTAGCAGGTGTGGGCTACTTCAGCTTGTACCATTTTTGGCCCACATCACGGCGGGCTGGCCCGTATTCACACTGCCAGCTTGCTTTACCAGCTCTACTTAGTGGAGGAAACAAGAGAAATTAGAAAGAAAGGTCGAGGTTGCGTGAGAACAAATGGGGAGGAGTCAAAAGAAATAGTTTTACATTTAGGTTCTTATTTGATTATTATAAGATATATTTATTTGTTGTATAGACAATAAAATCTAAATAATTTATTTTAAATGTTATTCACATATTAGAATCTAATTATTTTAGATATAGATAACAACTCAATAATTCTACAAAATTAACCCCACTCTTTTAAATTAGTTATTACTTAAAGCAGTATTACTTAGTATCTCAACTACTCCATAATATATCAATCTCACCTATTATAATATTAGGGTTCACAAAATAATATATACACATTCTCACCCCCGTGTATTTATAGCTATATACAAAATAATATAACTTGTTGGGCTGGCCTATTTAGACACGAAAATTGTGAGGATGGGTTTGAAATTTTCTCTTTTAAATGAAAAATAGGTTTGAAAGAGCTGGCCCTAACTTATATAACTTGTGATTCTATAATTTGAATTAGAAATTTATGAGTTTCAACAATAATGCTTCTCAAACTAAAGTAAAATAATGCTAGACTCGAAAATTTAAAAGTGAAATTCCTATAAAGAATTTTTTTTTTTATATAGTGATGATGAAATTTCAAAATATTAATAATAGTGTTTATCTATTGCACATTTGCACTATTAATAGAACTTTTGGATGTTGTTGTCTTGTTCATGAATATTTTAGATATTCTTGAATGTTGATGGATATTCAAATATGATAATATTTTATATTTGTGACTTAATTTTATTTATATTTATATCTTTTATTAATAATTTTATTGATTTGTTTTCAGTTTTTGATTAAAAAAAAGTAAGAAATATAAAAAATAGCATTTTTTTTAAACAGGTCGAAAGACCGCGAGCTGGTCCTAATCCTGCCAATTTAAAGGCCGGGCCTAACAAATTGAAGTATTTTTAAAATTTCAGCATTGTAGGACTAGTCTTTTTAAATCTGTCAGTCCGGTAGGGTCGTTCTTGGAGGGCCTGGCCAGCCCGTATTCCTATCTTTATTTATAAACACAACTTTATATGTTTAACAGAATTTATAGATTACATTATAACAGGAGATAATTATAAAATTTAGAAATAATGTAAGATATTAGAGATAATAGAAGAAATATAAACATCCACACAAATATTATTATATTCATCACGAGGAAATGGGATCCCGCGAGAGGAGGGGAAATTCTGGGTTGCTGAAATGAGGCGCAACGGCGCCGTTTTAAAGCTGAGCAGGTGCTCATCGATTCCAGATTGCTCATCAACTGAGACTAGTCATGGTTTATCTTCTGGATTTCTTTCGCCACCATTCCTGCCTTCATTTGCTTTCTCTTGCACTGAGATTGGTTGCTCACTATATCTGGTGAGGATTCAAATTTGGCTTTTCTTATATCTGCGTCGATTCTTTTTAATTTACAATTTAATAATTTGAATATCTCTTTCCATTTCAGCTCTTTCCTGTGACTGCAAATTCGCTAAAGGATTTGCCTGCTGGTATGTGTTTTCTTTTCTTGGCCGTGTTTTCGGCTTGTATGCATCCTCTTCGGACGGCTTGATTTATGTATTTCTGCGTCAAGGAATTTCATGTTTATCATAGGCTTTTCCTGTCTATATGATTTTTGATTCGTTATGAATCAACGAAGCATCTTGTTTGGAGCAGCTTGTAGGAGTAGAAGCAGTGATAATTGGGAAGGGAAAAGGGGGGATAAAAAACTGCCAATGTGTTACCAGATCACTTGTCCGTTCCAGTATTTTAAAAATGTGTAATATTTACACTAGGTTTAGGCACCTCATAGCCATCTATTGAAGTGGATGACCACTCTTCCGCATCCTATGTTGTTAAGCTGGTATTTATGGTTTCCTCCCGTGCTTAGGTTTTTCTTTTGGTTTAAAATAGTTAAACTGATTGTATGATTATCTGGGTAGGATTTTTATGGATGAAAGTCGATGTAAAATAAACCGAGTAGAAATGTGCCTAAGTTCTTGTCAAAGGGGACCTTGGATGAAGGCTCCTTGCCTCAGCCAGCAAGAGGTGTTGAGGCTTCTTGTTGCTGTGTTGATCTTTTCTCCAAATCGTACAAAAGAGCTTGTCAATCTATCTGTAAATCTCTTACAAAGCTGGTAATCATACTGCCTCCAATCTATAACGTTTCGGTTGGATTATAGGATTCGCTTCTTTATGATATTTATTGAGGAGGAATTAGAATATTTAGAAGTTTGATCTTTTGAAGTTGTCAAGTCCAAAATTGACTTGTCATAGGAAACCTCAATAATAATCAGTTCAATTCAATGAACTCCTTCTGTTATGACTTATGACCCATTTAGTACATCGGAGAGTGAATGAAATGGGGGAAAAAAAAAAGAAATGAAAACAATGATTTTTGGATTGGAAAATGACCTTCGTGCCCTTAATTGAAAAGCAGTATAAAACAATTGGAATTAATTGCAATGATATAATGTTTTAAAGGCTAAGGTTGATACAACTGGAATGGACAGTTTCTTTCTGTCCATCTAGTCTACCTCCTCAACGTCCCTCTCTACTTGATGCCAGCAATTGTATCTTCCATACTTTTCGTCATGGTGCCAGAGTAGCTTCATCCATAGTTGGGCCAGAGGATGACTTAGTAGATTTTTGAATTTTTCTTATTTTCTATTCCAATTGATTCTCATTTTGTAACATGGTTTTTGTTTCTAACAAGTTCCATCTGCCTTGATATATTTTCCAAGTTTCATCAAAAGATGACCCACAAAAGGGGGAGAACTGATAGCCACGGAGTAGTGTCCATATCTCAATATAACGTTTTCTGATATTATCAATTGGGTGAAATTTGAGAAGTTAGATTACATCCCATTGTCTGGCTTTCTATAATTTGGTTTGATTGTGATTTCTCTAAATTTTTTTCTGGCCAACCAGTTCCTATGACCATCTCAGATGATGAGATTGACAATTATGAAAAGTGATTTGGTTCTATCGTTTGATTTGGAATGTTGTTGGGATGGCCATGTCTTTACTTTGTTTCTCTTTTTCCCTACCAAAAAAGTTGTGAATATGAAATCTCTCTCTCTCTCTCTCTCTTCTTTTTTTTTTTTTTTAAAATCTTGGTTGGAATATTAAGCTATTGTGATGTGAATGGTCTTAGAACCAAGATAGCTGGGACAAGATTGAAGGTATAACTGGACAAGAGGAGATTCAAGACCTTAAGGTGCTCTGCCATTGGGTATATTAGGGCTTTAAAGAAAATGTTGAAGGGGCTTAAACAAATGGAATTGTCAAAGAACTGTTAGAATGAGAATAGCTAATGTCAAAGGGGTTGTCATGGTTGAACATTTCTAAGAGTTGTCCTTCTAAGGAGTATTAGTTGCCTAGGCTTTCTTCAGAGAGTCATGTGTTTGTTTCTTTGAGGCTGTCAAGTATTTGTGAGATGGTGGTGTAGGAATATTAAGCTTACTCTTTAAGGACCATGTTGTAAAAGTCAAAGAATATTTACTGTTATTACATCCTTTACAATTAGGTTAAAGAAGGAAATTGGATAGCAATGAAGAAACTGTGTCAAAATATAATTTAAGAGTGTTTTAAAGGTTATTCAGATATTACTTTGTCATATTTCCCTCATCAAATATTATAATTTGGAGGTTTTGAGGCCAAGCTATTTACAACTAGGGTGCTAAGCCTGATGATTTCTCTCAGTCTAGTGTATCCTGTCCCATACTGCTTGCTGCCAGCTCTACTCCTGCCTCTGGTTTCTCTCAATTCTCACCAGTAATTGAATGTTGCTTCACCCATTAGTTATGGCCCCATTAAATGATAAATTAGATTTAAATAATCTTTCCTGTTTACTCAAGATGGAGTGGGGCTAGGCAAAACCACTCTAGTCCTGGGATTGCAAATTTCAGAGACAAAAATATCCTTATTGACAATAGATATAGGACCAGAATACCCCTATAACCATTTGACCTAAATTAAGATTACCTCTTCTATCGATCTTTATTGCCGCATTTGCTCTCTCTCTCTCTCCCCCCCCCCCATTGTGCTCGTTGTCAAAGGATGTCACATCGACACCAGTAAGTACTACAACTACTTCCTATGGCTGATTATTGTAGATTCCCTTAAAGGCTTTTTTGATGTTGGGTTTGAATTCCTCCTTCTACTCGGAATTCCAGTCTCTTCTTTGTACTTAATACTGCCTTCTTGACCCATCTATCTTTTCTGCTTCTTGTTGGTGCCGCTCATTTTTCAAAATTCGAACAACAATGTAATGCACAAAAAGGTAATTTCTTTTTAGCCCAGGGAGAAAAGAAGAGATTAACAGATATCTATATACTATTACAGTAGGAGATATAGTTATTTGGTCAGGTTTTTGAATTCTTCAAACCAATTGATTTTTTGATAATCAAGAAGTCAAAATAGAAATATGAAATGAGTTGAATTTGGAAACTCATTGGAGCATTGAACCTGGAATGGTCTGGGTGGAACGGAGTGCTAACATTGTAAATTTTCTGTTTATATGCGATGTTAAATTAGAAGCAAATTAACATTATTTCCTGCACATGCTATATATGCTGAAACTTGTATTTGAATGCTTTTGCCATAGAATCTCCCTCATTCTTCAAGAACTGTTTATTAGACTTAGAACATGTTGATTAGCTGTGCTGTACAATCATCAGATCAACTTCTTGTCAAATAATAGTTAAATAAAGAGCTATCTGGTGCAACCAATAACTATGAAACAAATATCATCCAGTTTGTTTTTATCATGTCACTTGATGTTCTTCATCCCTTTATTTGTTTAATGTGTTGATTGGGTATTGGTGATTTAATTGACCAGCCATTGCTCTTGTTTCAAGTGGGGAAAAAAGGCTAGTTGGAGAACACAAATTCATTTATCCCTGAGTTCTTCCAACTCATTTTAAAGTTCCCTCATGAAAATATGTCTCCAGGCCCTTCACATTTTTTCCTATCATGATATGAGTTACAGGCTTAGAGGAACTAATACTGAGTAAATATGAAAAAAAAAAAAAAAAAACATTGAATGCAAGCTCAATACCCATAGTCGGAGCTTAGTTTGGACAGTATAGAATCCAAAACCAAATGGGATGAATTAAAAGCCCTGTTCTTTGAAATCTTTTTTTTTTTTTTTTATTCTACTAGAGTAGGAACATCCATGTATTCCTATTAAACATATTTTTTATGCCTACGTGATTGGTTACATAGTTATGGCATCATCTGAAGAAAAGAGAGTACAATTGTGTTTGTTGTTTTGGTGGCTCAGCATGGCTAAGGCAATGCATGGGTTTTGTTTTGCTTTGGTTTGTTTGTTTGTTTTTTTTTTTTTTTAAATGTGCATGTGTGGTGGTCTTATTAAGGGCGTGATGAATAAGACATATATCTTATGAAATGGACTTTGTTGCTAAGAGATCCTGCATTTAGGAAACACAAAGCGCATATTGAAAAGGTTGATGTGATCCTGCAGTTGTACATCAGGCTTTCCTATAAAATTTGACATCAAAGCCTGAAAATTTGAACTCCATAATCCTCATTTATCCTTTATAAATGATGTTGCTATGATAGTTGGTTTAGCTAAAAATTAACATTTGTTGCTATCTAGTGTTTACTTTGAATAAATGAACTCATCTATATAACGAGAATGTTTACAAATTTCAAGGATAAGGTTGAAAAAACGAATTGGCTACCTTGAAAGCAAATATAGTCAAACAAATATGCCCTTATCCTAGGCTTGTATAAAATCTTCACATTTGTTTCCCACTACAGAGAAAGCAAAAGGACCTTTTGTGACTGGTCTACATTTGTGTGGAGTATAGCAACTGGCTAGGTAGAAGCTGGGAGGGGAATCACGTATTTTATACAAGCCTGATATGAGGGCATATTTGTTTGATTAGTATAGTATTTGCTTGTAGGGTAACTAATTCGTTTTTCAGCCTTGTCCTTGAAATTTGTAAACATTCTTGTCATGTAGACGGATTCACTTATTCACTAGATAGCAACAAATGTTAATTTTTGGCTTAATCAGTCAATCAGAGCAATGTCATCTGTAAAGGATGAATGAGGACCATAGAGTACAAACTTTCAGGCGTTGTTGTCAAATTTTATAAGAAAGCTTTATGAACAGTTGCAGGATCACATCAACCTCTTTAATATGCACCTTCTTGTGTTTCCTAGCTGCAGGATCTAGATTATCGAAGTGAATAAGCAAATTCCTGAACTGTGTTTGGTGCATGTGTACTAGTGAGCTGAACACAAATAGACCTGAGATTGACAGAAAAAGCTGCAGAATCCATGACAATGACATCAGAAAATGTGGAGGAAGAAGTAGGAAGAGTGGTAGATGATGCAAAAGAATTGCAGGACTTGGTCACAACTCACATCTCAAAGACTTCAATTGAAGAGCAATCTCTCCGCCAGCGTGCACTATCTCTTAATGACTCTATTAAACGTTTGCGCTCCTTGCTTGATTCACTTCTCTCTCAAAAGCTATTGGACCCCAAGGTGGCAGACAAGGTAAAATTGTATTTCATTAATAGTAGAAAAAATCAATTTAATTTTTTATATCAATTCTCCTTCTTTAGATACCTTGAAATGCGTAATTCTTGATGTGGACCCAATAAGAACTTGTCCTAGAAAACCCATAAATTGCAAATTGAGGAAGCAATTAAGAAATAAGATAACAAGAATAAGAAAGGGACAGGTGATCTTGAAACAAGAAACCCAATGAATATGTGTTCTAGAAAACACTAAATATATGAAACTCAGCACCGAAAGGAAACAATAGCTCAAGGACTCCAAGTATAACAAGCACCAGAGTAGATCACTCTCTTGTGCCATCTAGTATTCTATCAAGAATATATAACTAACAAGTAAATACTTGTTAATTTTTTTTTTTAATTCATAATTCCATAATTGATCTCCCAAAATAGCATACATAGAAGGAATATTTATAACCCAATAAACTGATCCTGACTAGAACTCTTAACTCACTAAGACTTTTCTAAAAATATTAGTTTACAAGCCCAAAAAGATCAGGATAGATAATGGTGAATATGGTTAAAGGATAAATAGAAATATTGGGAATATTTTTAATTAGATTATTTAGATAATCTAATTAGTGTGAAATGGTTTAATAGATAATGAATTAATTAATGAAGGGTAGTAAGAATATGGAAGAATATTAGATTATTTAAAGTAATCTAATTTATGAATGGATAAGGGTTGACAGTTATTAAAGATATTTTAAATTTGTGTAAATCAAATCATGGAAAACAATATAATTATAGGGATATAGAATAAAGGAATGAAAGATGCTTTGATTTATATGTAGATAAAGTATGGGTTTTTAAACTAAAAGATTAAACACATAATAAATAAACCCTAATATGCCATTAATGATTAAATGGCATCTAAACACTAATTAATGACTCTTGGCTCATGACCTTATTAAAAAAAAAATTACAAAATAAATTTAATGGAAAATTTAATGACTTGCGCAAAATAAATAGATTTTAGCTAGATTGATCTTCAAATAATGCATCTTGGGTCTAAATATGCAAGACCATGGTCTAAATTGCCTTGAAATTGCCCTATAGGTTTGCATCAATTCTTTTGGATTTTTTGTTATTCTAAATATATAATTTGATTACATGGTCAGCTAAAGTACTTCAACAGTAACAACAAGATTTATCTTACTAGGTAGGGTTGACTATATGGATTGCATAACATTATTGTTCTATATCAACAACTAAATCGTTAGATAGGTTATTGACCAAAGGGTCTTGTTCAATGATGTCATTGAGTATTGTCCTTGGTCTTCCTTTGCCAATTTTTAAAGGACTCCAAACTATCTGATATACCCTCTCTACTGGCGCCTCCAATGGTCTTCTCTGCACATGTCCATATCATTTAAAATGACTTTAACCATTTTCTTTTCAATAGGCGCCACACGTACTCTTCCTATAATACTCCTCTGGTCCTACGAAAGGGGTCTTATATTTAGGACTGGAAGAATATTATCATTTTGAATTTTATTTTTTCTGATATGACCATCCGTTTATCTTAACATCTTATTTCTGCTACCTTGACTTTATGCTCTTGTTTCCCTTTAGAGCCCAACGTTCACGACCATATAACATAGCTAGTCTTATAGGTTCCGTTTGATACGAAGCATTGAAAATGAGGGATAAGAACTGGGATCGTAATTGAAAAAAATCATTAAAAAAGTATTTAGTATGATTAATTGCTTGTTACATAGGATTAAGCAAAACCATGAAGGTGGGATTTGAACTTTGACTCTTGAGGAATGATTTGATCTCCTATCTTAACCTCCAAATCACTACTGACTTGCCTCCCACCAAAATTGCAATGCATATATTTTATTTTGCTCCTGCTTAGGCGAAAACTTGTCAACTCCAAGGGCCTCCATAATTCCAATGTAGAGTTAACCTCTTCTCTTGATTCAGTCATGAGAACTATATTATCAGCGAAAAGCATGCACTTAGGGATTTCTTCTTGAATAAGCTTAGTTAAAACATATAGAATTAGGTTAAACACGTAAGAGCTCAGAAAAGATCTCTAGTATGGGTCAATCTTAATAAGAAAGTCTTTTATTTCACCTCTAGACGTTCTTACACTAATAGTTCTCCCTCATACATATCTTATATGGCTTTAGTATAGGCAACCCGCACATCTTTCTCTTCCAAAGCTTTCCAAAGTGCTAATTTCTTGATTTTATATAGACCTCCCTTACTCTATTTGAATATGCTATAACTCTAGTTTTAAAAAATTATGATACAATCATTAAAACACAAGTTAGATAATGGTTAACTCTTTGTGAAAACCAAAAGAATACTCCTAAATGAGGTGTTAATAAGAGTGGGAGGCTTACAACCTCTGCAAGGCTTCTCTATAGGTCTTCCCTGCAATGCCACTCTCATTGCCTTACAATGCAAGGCTCTAAAGCTTTGCTTCAACCATTTACCATTAGCTAGCCCCTTTCTGAAGGTACATATCCCTTGCCACTCAAATGCCCTGCTTCATATTTTCAAGTATGCTGTCTCTCCAGCACCATGAGAACCAGATGCAACCTATTTTGGGTTTCAAAATTGAGGTGAGACAGTTTATTATATCTATCATGGAAGATTAGACCATAATTGTGTTGTAAATGAGACTACTTTCTCTAATACTTATATCAAATTTTGGGTGGATCAAGCTATTTCACCTTGAGTTTGCAACTTCTTTCTTAACATATTTTTAACACGTTGTCTGAGGATTAAACTATAACTCAAGTTCTTGGAGGTGGTAATCGGTCTTCATCTTTACCTTCTGGTCAATCGTGGATCTCAATCATAAAACCCTTTAGAATTGTTGAACAGAAGAGGAGCCGGAACAAGAGAAGGTGATTTAAGAGAATATAGGGTAGCATGAATATGGGCTATGTCTTGGAGTAAAATGAAAGGCCACCATGATTCAAAATTGAAATTTCACATCTGGTAAAAATAAAATGAAATATAATCTTATAAAAGATTTTAAATAACTTGATTGGGTTTTTTTTTTGGTAGGTTGCAGGAGTCAAGGGGTAGTTTTGTGTAATAATATTAAAAATTAGAGGGTTTGAAGTATATAAAATCTCTTAATAGCTTGGTCCCAATTTATTGATACCCTTATATGCTTTCTGATCCATTGTTATTATCTTTTTTCTTCTTTTCCTTTTTACAGTTGGATGAAGAATTACAAAGGGCGAAATGCATCATGGCAGATGGTGATGCTGCTTCACTTCTTCCCGGCAATGTGCAAGGTTCTTTTTTCTCTTATCCTTCTCATGAACTTGTGAGCTTTATGCCTCTTACAGAATTTTTGTAGCACAATACCATCTCTTGCTGATATCCAATCCTTTAGGACGATTTTTGAGGATGTTTCTGGGCCCTATTAACGTGCGTGCCTCTCGGAAGGATGTCCAGCTGAAGGTTAAGGAGGAGTACAACAGTTATAAAGTATAAATCCTCAGCTACATCTTCCTTTCCATATGACTTTTCCTCTACCTCAAGTACAAAGTGTCTGCCGTAATCTTGCATGCTGCATCTTGGAATTGGAAATGCTTCCATTTTTATATTGCTTTATCTAGGATAAGTTTTTTGTTCGATTTGGATTTGCCCTGAACTTTTGGATGCCTCGTTAACATGTTAAAGTTTGTGTAAAAGGCTGCTGAATCGACAGTGGACTTTGGGGAAATGGGTGTCTCTAATGATCATTGCAAATTTTAATAGCTACTCCATATGCTTAGAAGTAACCATTTGGTTGACTTGAGGGAGCGTTATGGTGCTTTTATATTATGGGTCCATATTCATTTTTTTATTGGAACTGGTGCCTTCACAGTGCATACTCGTGTCACTGCATTGGTATTTTATGAGATTTCCATTTTTTCTTGTTTATTGTAAAATCTGAACAGTTGGTATGTTCCTTTTTCTCTTACGTCTTACATAGTTTTCAAGTTTTTATACTGAGGTGTTGATTTTAATTAATTTACCAAAAGTTGCCATTGCTTCTCTCATTCACATGATAATAAGATGTTCATTTAAAAGTTTGCTTATGTTTGAGATCACTATTCTTTTTGATTGCGGGTGGCTTGGTGTAATCAATTTATTCACACTACAAATCATCCTAAAGGTAGCCCGAGAATCAGCTGGACAGTTGAAGATTCTTTTGGTGCCTATATATCAATTTCGACTCTTAATCTTCTCAGGCTGAATATGCATTTCTTGATTGTTGCCCCTATTTAATTTCATGAGAACTTTCCTGATGTCATTGTAATTCTGTGTTAATCTTTGAATTAATTCTGATTAAATATGTGAATTGATGCGTGTTAAAATTTCTTTCAGATAACCAGATAAACATGTTACACTTGCATCTAGATAATGCATTCCCTGAGGTTATAAAGATTGTGAAACTTACAAGATAATTACGCATCATTCAGGATAGAACTGCCCTCCTGTTCCTTTTTTTCCCATCAGTATTGCTGATTCTTAGATCATGGGTTTGGGCTGGATGCATGCCTGCTTTCCCAGTTCAACTTTACCAGGTATTTTCTTTTAAATCCCTTCAGTTGATAATATATTGTTTTGACTTTTGCACTTCTTCACACGTTATTCCGATGGATATCATTTCCCAGGCTTGGCTGCTATTTCTTTACACTGGTTTGGCATTGCGAGAGAACATATTGAGAGTCAATGGAAGTGATATTCGTCCATGGTAATGACATAAAGCTTTTTCATCTACTGAGACTATGTAACAGAAATTTTTGGCATATAATCTAACAATCTTTATCACTCCAAGTCATTCCTGTGTTTCCTCTTTAGAGTACGTGCTTCATATTCATGAAACTTATTTGACATAAGATGGAACATCAAATGACAGCAGTGCCAAAATTAACGTACGATAGTGATAGACTCATGATTTTGTGGCCTATGACTTGGTTTATGGTTATAGATGGTTTTGATAGCCTGAAAATAGGTTAATTAAAGGTTTTTAAGACTATAGGATAACGGTGATTTGTCAACAATAATGGTATATTTGATGATTACCCAATAAGTCAGTCAAAGCTTTTTAATCAGAACTTGTGGAACTTAATCTGAGATACGGATCTGTGCATTCGGAAGTAGTCAAAAAGTTATTTATAGAGTCACTTGGGAATGATTCTGTGAACCTTAAAAGGGTCATTTTATCAGGTATATTTGTTTACTTTTGTGGTGATCAAGTGAACCATTTTGTTAAGGTGGCATATGTGAAGTTGTTCATTGATTGATCTCCTCTTAAAGTCATTGCTGATTGACATAGTCGATCCTTGATTGACTTCATGATTGTTTGCTTATTTTGTTGTTCATGGTTCAGGATCAAGGTTTACATTGTTGTGCTTGTTGTTTTTAGTTGTACGCAAGAGAGTGAGGAGAGGAAGGATAGACGTTTTGGCTGGATTTCTTCTCTCCCTTACACTAAGTCTTTACATTGGGCTTGCATATCATATGTAGTGACTTCATATGCATGGCCCGAGTAGTGGCCCTATCTCCCATGGATGACGGTTGGCTAAAACGAGGAAGGCTTTGTAGAATATTATGTATTGGTTGTAAACATTAATTATTGATTAGGATTTATTAGGCTTTATTACATTTTATTCCCCATTTGATGTGTATATATATAGGCTTTTTTTTCTCAATGTCATTAGAAAATAAGAAAAACATAATTTTCACTTCTAAATATTTCACATGGTATCAAAGTGCTAGATCAAATAGTGTACAGGGCTTTCTTGGTTTATGGGTTGCATGGGGATGTTTGTATGGTGGCTGAGGGTTTTCGTGCTTGTGATGGTAGAGGGCTTGTTGGCTCTTACTACCAGCCCAAGGATGCCTAGAAGATGCAATTGGCCAACCCCAGGAAGAGGACGCCCAATGGTGGCACATGGAGCTCCCACACACCACTATAACATAACATGCTAGCGGCCTTCCAGCAGCACGTTAGCGCATGTGAGATGATTATTCCAGCAGCATTGACTCCCTCCTCTGGCAACATGATTATTTTGGTGGATCCCAATGTCTCCCATGTCTAGGCAGCGTTTGTTTGAGTGTTCTTGGTCATGTGTTACTCATTGTATGCTATAGGTTGAGTTATGTGGGTTGGCTTCTATATACTCAATGCTATAGGAGTGATAGCATGGATAGATGTAAGCATTGGGGTTTCTAAATCTGTGCCTATTGCATTGGCGGCAAAAATGGGGACCTTTCTTCAGGCACTAAGGACATCATGGGATACAACGGTATGGATTGTTGATGTTGAAGCATCTGATTAGATGACTAGTTGTCATTAGCTATTCACACTTTACACCCCTATGGGGGGAATATTTTAAAGTAAAAATTACTGACAGTTTCTCAGCACCAGTGGCCAGCAAAGGGAGTATTCGCATTTCAGATTCTATTGTTTTAGAATCTGTTCTTCACATGCGTAAAATTGATTGTAATATGCTTTCAGTTAAGTCAATCTTCAGTGACATTCGTGATTAATTGCTGTTAATCTTCAAAAATTCTTTCTTGGTCATCCTCATTATACATATAATTGCTGGACTTCCTGCCGCTATATGATTTTAATTGGAGATAACCATTAGCCATACGACTTTCTTTGGTGATGGACATTCTGCCACATTCAACGTCATTGTTGTTATGAGCTATTGATTATCTCAGACTCAGTCCCATCATATCGGTATTTGTTTACTTGAGACATTGGTCAAATTCAATTATTTGATCATATGCTTGTTTTCAGCACCGTTTCATACCCTGGAAGGACACCTTGACATTTGAATGGTGTGTGTTGCACCAGGAAAGATAGAAAAGACAGGCTATGAACGAAGAATTCAATTTATCAACTTTATAGAATGCAAGTTCTACACCTGTTTATAAACCACAGGAGTAGTTTGAGTTGCATCAGTTGGTTACTTTTCAACTACCTGAATTACAGCTAACTAATCTTTCTGTTGCTAACTAGCTGGTTAGTTCCCATGCAGAACACTTCTAGCATATGCATGGTGAAATCTTTTGGTCCACTGGTCATAGCTTCATGAATTTTCTTTCTACCCTTTAGTCACCAATTATGGGTTTCTACTTTTCATGGTAGAAGTAGCGGTCTAGGTGAAGTAATCTCAGCAATCATTTTGGAAAATCTTCAGAGTACTAAGTTCAGGGAGGGTGGTGATTAGTTTAGGAGAAAACATTGGTACCTAAGTTTTTATGCTTAATATACTCTATTAAATTAGAACAAATGACTTCAAATTTAAAATCTAGTTAAACGTATTAATAAAAATAGTTTCTTGCAGGAATAATGATGGGTCAAAAAGAAAAAGTTCTACTTATCATAATATAATTGAAAAAAGCACATTAATAAGTTTTATTTCTTAGTTTTTCTCCTTAAATTTATAGGTAATTTTATTTTCTTGGCTACTTAACCTTTTATCCCATTGTAGGTGGATATACCATCATTACTGTGCTATGGTAATGGCCCTTGTGAGTCTCACTTGGGAGATTAAAGGACAACCTAATTGTCCACAAAAGCAGGTTAGCCCTCCTCCCATGGCTCCCCCCCCCCCCCCCCAAAAATCTATGTAAGATTGGAAGTATCAACAAAGCTTTTGCTAACGCATGCAGAGAGGGGTACAACTTTTTCTCCAGTGGGCTATGATGCAAGGAGTTGCAATGCTCTTGCAGAACAGATATCAACGACAGAGACTTTATACTCGTATTGCACTGGGAAAGGTGCTACTTTTTAATGGAAGAATTTAGTGTTTAGTTTCCTTTTCCTTGATACGTTATTTCAATATTTTACATTCAAATAATCTTTCCATTGGCCAGCTCACTCCTGTTTGTCTCTTCTAGTTACCTTCTGCTGTTATATTATTGTTGTGCTTGGGTACTTGTCTGCTGCCACGATTTTTTTCTTTTCCCTATGCTATTAATTTTGTGGTGAAACAAATTGCATCGTATGGATAGAAAATGAAATATATGATCTCATCCTTGTTTTATTCTGAATTTTAGGCTAAGAGAATGGATGTTGTTTGGGGAGAAACGGCTGGAGTTGATGGCCAACTATGGTTATTATGCCCCATACTCTTCATTTTGCAGGTAATTTGAGCAATTCTGTGATGCTGTAAAAGATGATTTATTCACTTAGTAGTAGTATAGATGCTTTGGGCCCAAAAAAAAAGGGTAGTATACATACAAAGTTTCAATCATATAGAAAGGAGTCTGCTGAGATACTAGGAATCATAATGTTGGATGTCGGCCTACTGCCACCTATGGGCCCACTTACGCTAAACCCTAATTTTCATCATGACTATTTCCTATTAATTTACTTATATCGGATCTGTAATTATTATCTCAGTTTTTATTTTCCTTGACCGTATGAGAGATTTAGGTGATTTGATTTAGATTTATTCTCTCCTCATTCTCCTTTATTTGTACTTGATTACAATCAGTAAAAGTGAGAGAACTGTTATACACAATATTTCACATAAATTCAAAATTAAAAATCAGATTCAAATCTGATCAGAGAAGGAAATAGAAATAGCTAGGGAATAATGACAATAAATAATGAAATTAGGGTTTTGCTGGGTGTGTCGCATTAACAAGTTGATATCCATCATGCCCAGCTTGCTTCTTAAGTACTTGAACTTGTCCCTATCTGATGGTTGTGAGGACGTTAGCAACTTGAGAGTTAGAGCATATGTAAACTAGGTCTATCACCTTTGATTCCATCTTCTCCATCTTCTCCTTGATAAAGAGCTTATCAATTTTCACATGTTTAGTTATGATGAATAGGATTCTGGACCATTTGGAGAGCAGCCAAACTATCACACCATACTTTGATGGGTGAATTTACTTCAATCTTCAGCTCTTTTGGCACTCGTATTAATCACATTCCCTCACATATTCCATGACTCAAGGCCCTAAGCTCATATTTGGTGCTGCTTATGGACACCACAGTTTGCTTCTTGCTTCTCCATGTTGCGAAATTTCCCCACACAAGGTTGAAGTTACTAGAAGTTGATCTTCTATCAACAAGAGATCTTTCATGGTTTGCATTGGTGTATACGATCATCTCTCTAGTTGCATTTTACATAGTCCTCTTCCAGTTGTCAATTTTAAAAATATTAGGATTGTATATATTGCTTACACGTGCTCCTCATATGGTTGTGTTGCAAATTGACTAATGACACCTACTACATAGCTTACTTTAGGCCTTGTATGGGAGAGGTAGATGAGTTTCCCAACAAGCCTCTTTTACCTCTTAGCATCTATTGGGATTTTATCCTCCTCCTGTTCTAGGTTAATGGAAGAATCCATAGGTGCTGATGTTTTAGCTCCAAACATTCCTGTTTCTTTAAACATTACGAGTAGACATCAGGGCACTATTTACAGCAAGATGTCTGTTCTTCCATTCACCAGTTTCATTTTGTCGTGGGCTATTCACGTAGCTGGTTTGGTGAAGAATCCCATTGTCCTGATGGTATTATTGTAAGGTAGAGCTTATCTATCCTCTTCTGTTGTCACATCAAAGAGGTAAAAAAGAGGTTTGGATCTGAATTTTGATCATACTGTGGAAATGGTACGTTCTTGGAATTAGAGATGTAGGAAAAGGGAGAAAGAAAGGAAAGAGGGATAGAGAGAGAAAAAGAACGAGAGGAACAAGAACGGGGGGTTACTGGATAATCCTTGAATAGTCAGTAGTACATCTCGATTTGATTCTGGGAGTAGGGTGTTCAATTTGTCCTGTCCCGGTCGTCTCGGTCCCGGGTTCGGGACGGGACGGTACAAAAAAAATTTCGGTACGAGACAAAAATGGGACGGGATGGGACGGGATGCAGGACAGGATCATCCCATCCCGGGATTTTTTTTTTTCTTTTAAAAATTATTTATTAATAATTATTATTAGATTATTTAATTTACTTATTAATAATAACTCTTACTTTTATGGTGATTTGTAGCTCTTAAGTTGTACTATTATCTCAACAAAATCTCCTTCCTCAATAAAATAACTCATAAAGTCATTATATAGTTTTTTTTTTTTTTACAGTATTATTTTTACACCTTTTTTATGCTATATAATTAAGCTTTCTACATAATATTTTTTTATAATGTTTTTATCTTTAAAAGCCCAATAAAAAATAAGTATTATAACATAAAAAAATTTATATAAAAAATTATGGTATCTTTTTTTTTAAAAAAAGGGGGAAGCGGGACTCCCGGTCTCGACGGGACGGGACACGGGACAAAAATCCCTGTCCCGTCCCTGTTCACCGGGACGGGACCAAGATAGGCCTGTCTCGGTCTCGTCCCGTCCCATGAACACCCCTATCTGGGAGAATCCTTTTATACAAGGAAATAACTAACTAATGGAAACAAATGTAATCAACAAGTTATTATCTAACTGCTACTCTAACCTATGTCAATTGACCTATCTACCCTTACTTATAGAACATGAATTACAATTACATAACAAGAAATTCATAAATGAAGGAACTAGGATGAATGTCTTTTTTTCTAGGGGTAAAAAGTTTACAACATAAAGAGGCTGGATTGGGATAATTATGCCACTGATGGAACTTGGAAAATACTTTGCTGTATTTCTATTAGAATATTCGAGGAAAAGGGAACAACTGTCTGATAGGAATAACAATAGCAATGGAACAGTGAAATACAATAGAAAATGACAATGGCTAGCTAGCTAAAAATGGAAATAAAAAACGATAGGTCCCTCCTGATTCTCCCAAACCTTCCCACATCTTTCTCATTTGCCCCCCTCTAGCACGCAACCCTAGAAAACTAAGGACCATTAGGTTGGGTATGCGATGGCCTTGGGCCCATAGTAGTCGGTAGGTTTTGTTTGGGCTTCCTTCTATTATATACCACAACAGTCTTAGGGTTGGCCTCGTCAGCCACCAAACCCTCAAGATACAATTAATAAAAATTGATCATAAAAGATAATAAAGAGATTTGATTTGATCCCATAATATTAGGGATATAAATAGAGACTAACTAGGATTTGACTAGCAGGAAATGTCCCATAGTATTGAGCTAGGCATACTATTCAATACTCCTCCTCAAGCTGGGGAATATATGTCAAGCATCCCCAATTTGGGAGTTAGTTCCTCAAATCTGATTCTTGCAAGAGGTTTTGTAAGATGTGCAACTTGAAGTTTTGTGTTGATGTTTCTAAGATTTGATGATGCCTCCTTCAATTTTCTACCTTATAAAATGTTTGTTTTTTTCCACTTGCTTTGGTTTGTCATGATGAAGAGGATTATTCACCATTTCCATGGTTGACTTACTATTACACCAAAACTGAGCTGGTGACAGATGCCAAATCTTTTATTCATTAATTAATCGCATCAACCATGCCCCTTCATATACTCCATGAGCCAATGCCCTAGCTTCAGATTCTGCACCATTTTGAGAAAGGGATAAGCTCCATTTTTGCCTTGGAAGTTGTCCATCAGGAGCTGTGGGTATCTGGAAGTGTTTTTAGGGGTAATGTCACCCCAAAAGTTGCCAAATGTCACCCAAATTTAACACCCCCAATGGTCAAACGTTAGTTGACCCCATTATGTTGATTTGGCATTCCTAGGTGGCATCCATATCACTTTTTATAAGCCACGTGGTAGGGAGTGGTCCATGTGGTAAAATTCCTTTTAGCTTCTCTTTCCTCCAGCAGCACCATTCAATTCTCTTTCTCTTTGCAGCTTCACGATAAAAATTGGGATCAAGATAAAAGTCTCTGAAGGTTCCATAAATTGGCCCCTTAATATGAACGATTCCAAAAATTCTCTCTACTTTCTATTTCATGCTCTTCAAACTCTTCATGTTCCCTTTAGTGAAAAAAAATTCTACATGTTCCTCGCTAGTCTTCGCTGAAAACGCCTCCTCCGATCTCGTTCCCTTTGTAATCGCCCCATCAAGTTTTGAAGTTCCACTTCGTATCTTTTGTTTGGCTGCCAACGTCCTCTCTTTCTCTGTGCAAATCATTGATGATAGCCTCAGATCCGAAGCTCCATGCATTCTTCGGTATAGTCTTTGGCGTTCAACGGAGAAGATGGGTACTTTCAACAAACCAACATCCTCTTCGACTAGTTGAGAGTTGAGACTATAGCTATAAATCTGAAATTAGTACACCATATATATGTTAAAGATGAGCGAGAAGATTTGAAGCTCCCCTAACCGAGACAATGAACAATGATTGAAGAGGGGTTCTTTTGTTGAATCTTGACAGTTCGATGAACCAGTGTCCTCTAGTTTAGCCCCCCCCCCTCTCTTTTATATAAAGCCCTTTTCAACTCACAATCCATGTCAGCATTAGTGGGTGAACAAGAAAGATTTAACGGTCAAAATTAACTTCTTTAATGGTGAGGGTGATATTGCTACATTTTGGCAACTTTTGGGGCGACATTGCTCCTAAAAAAACTTTTGAATATCCATAACTCCTGAGGGATAACTTCCAGAGCAAAATTGGACCTTATCCCTTTTGAGAAAGAACAGCAACCAAATTTCCCCATAGAGAAGTAAAATATCTTCAAGTGGGCCTTCTATTGTTTAATGCACCTCTATGTAAATCTCAATTCCTCTTGATCTATCCTTCTTAGAGAGTATTCCCTTTCTTGGATTAAACACCCAAAGCTCATGGATGCCAATCAAGGGTGTTTGTAGCCTGTCCCATATTATTATCAAACTGGTTGGTTTGTCCCTTATTTGGGTAGGCTCAGGCTGGCTTAACTTGGCCAAGTATGATTTGTACACTTGGTTAGCAGGCATTTGCTCAACCTTAGTAGTGACTTAATTCCTAGGTAAATAACTTGGCTGGACAGGGTATTTCCTTGGTATGGAAGTGGTCAAGACTAGAAAGGAGACCAATGCGTCCTAAAGAAAGTACACCCTTGATCTATTACCCGAGACAGGGATGCTTGGTATAAGGCTAGATGAAACGCCTACGGAAGCCTCATGCAACCTAGAGATTAAGCTAAATGATGCACTTGTAGACTTTGAATGGTACAAAAGGCTTGTCAGAGAGCTAATATACTTGATGCTTGCATCTAGATATTAGTTATTCAATTGCAGTTGTGAACCAGTTCATGCATAAACTGCAAGAGCACATGGAAATTATCTACCGTATACTGAGATATTAACCTTGGAAGAGGCATCTTCTTTGATAGTGGTGGAGCAAGGAATAGAAGTCTACATAGATGTAGACTATGAAAGATCTTTAGGGAATAGGAGATCCACCATTGGATGTTGCACGTGTAAGGGAACTTGGTTACTTGGAGAAGTAAAATGGAATTTGTTATTTCAAGAATTGTTGAATTTGAGCTTACGGCTGTGGCACTCAGGGTTTGTAAGCACATGAGTTACTTGACTACTAAAGGAATTGGAACTTCCATATGATGGCCCTATGAAGCTATGATGTGATTACAAGGCTAGCATTAAGATGACCAACAATTATGTATACCATGATAGGACAAAATATGTTGCAATTGGTAGTCATTTTATCAAGGATAAAGTGGGAGGGGTCTCATTGACCTAAACTACATATGCTTAACGGATCAATTAGTGGACGTCAATTCAGTTTAAAGGATTACGAAGCATGCTGGGAACTATTGATATCTATTCTCTAGCTTTTTCCTTTTTTTTTTTTTTTGGTTTGTTTGGGGGGGGGGGGGATGTGTGGGGGGGTTGGGAACCTAAAAGGCCAAAACTTGTTCACTCAGCTACCGTTTTGGTTCTACTTTATGTGGGAATATCCTATTGTTTATTGTACAATTTAGTATTACCATCATTATTGTTTGAGATTTTATTACCTTGTGTCTCTCAACGTACATGTTGAGATGTAGTCTGCATTTTAAAAATGAGAAAATTATTTACCCCTTAGATTCAACATGGTATCAAAGCTTCCAACTCAAGATCACAATTAGGGTTTGTAGGCTATAGGTCATATGAAGCCTTCTATTGAGTTCATTGGGGAGGTCACGTGCCTGTGCTGCTGTTGACTCTCACCATCAGCTCCACTAGAGGGAGAAGGCTCTGACTGGTCAACCCCAAAAGAATCTCAGTGAATGGTGGTGTGTGAGTTCTCTATGCTAATGAATGTCTAGCGGTGTGTGGAAGAATGTGGATGGCATAATTTGATGGTAGCCTCTTCCTCTAGCAACAATGACTAGTTTCCGACAAAACCCAGGAGTTTACCACATCTAGGCAACCAATTCTCAATGCATCTTAATCCTATGCTATCTGTGACGGGTTGTGTGCTCTATAGCTTTGCATTTGTGGGCTTGCTCATGTGGATTATGAGTCATCACTCTTGTGAAACTTTACTTCTGGTTGATGCTATAGGAGTGATATAATGGCTGCTCCTGAGCATGTCTAACCTTTTCAGCCCTATTTCTGGCATAATCTCATTTATCCGTTTTAGGAATCTGGGACTTGATTGTAACCTTGGATCTGCTTAGACACCAGGTAGCAGCTGAGTTTTTAAATTTTTGTACTGCACGCTTAAAACACTAGAGGATAAAAGCTGTTTTTCAGCAGGATTAAAGTTGACTTATTTTTCACAAGCTGGACATGATCTAAGCAATGCTGGCATGGATACAGGTACAAGATACAGCATAATACTGATTCCGCGGCAGTAATTAAAACACCTTAAAGTATCATATTATGTATAGTACAAGTGCCAATATGACTGTTGTTAAGTATCAGTGTCTCATGGTGCGGATGCTCCAACCCGGAGTGTCTTATAATTTAGTGTTGGGTTTATGTTCCCCTGGTGCTACTAGAGGACAGGTAGAATAGCATGAACTGCTTCCCAGGGCTATTAAGGGACGGGTAGAATGTACTACTTGAACTGCTCCCCCGTCTGTTTATAAATATCTTGGTTTAGGAGGCTAAACAATCAAGTCAATTCCTCAAACACCTGTCCTTTTCCTTTTTCTCTCATGCTGATTCGTCTTTCATACTTTGTATCCTGGGTTAATAACCTTGTTTTAAATTGATTTTTATGTATTATTAGATCTGTTTTACTCATTTTGGTTCACAGGTTAAATATATCCCATTAATTTATTACTCTAGCATCATATATTGTTAATTTACTTTACAACTGAATTAGAAGGCAGCAGGGGAGCTTTCGACATTCATTAACTTTTTTTGTGCTTCTATTTTGATCTAGGGATTTGAGGCATATGTTGGATTATTGTTGCTCAGAACCGCATTTGTTGGGGTTGTCTCTGAGTGGCAGGTACTTGCCATACTATCTTATTTTACTTCATAACAGTGCCTTTTATTTTGTACCTCAAATTATATTCAGTTAAATTGTATGTATATGGAATGACAGAATGTTCTTCGGCAGGTAATATTTTGCGGTGGCCTACTGGTTTTAATGGCTGTTGGGAACTTTGCAAATACAGTGCAGACGCTAATGGCGAAGTCAAGATTTAAGGCAAAGATGAGAAGAAGCAAGAGCAAGCAGGAACTGGATTAAGCATTATTCTGGCTCCTAGAGCTACGTATATCAGTTTTGTCAGTGTTGACCACAATTAAGCTAGTGATTATTTTGGCCTGCTGTAGCATTCGCATGCAATGAATCTGATCACAATAAGCATGAATTCCGATTAAAATGATATTGTCCTGTAATTTGCCTTCCAGGAGTACCTTCTTCTGTGGTGTTAGGATGATTACTGAAACTTCAGTCTCCGCCCTAATTCTGTTTATATTGAAACCGCAGAAGTCAATTTAGGAAGTAGCACCTCAGATTCTGCTGGTTTACGTTTTTCTGTTTTATTATTTTTATAAAGGAAGGTCATCTTTCTTGGTATTTTTGAATAACGTTTTTTTGTTTTTAAATCTGTCCTTGTATATGGTTACTGTGGCCCTCAAATTCAATCCGTTTGTTAGTTTATCCCTATGGCGCATAGATGGCATTGATGTGAAGTTAATGACGTGAAAAGCGTGGTTGATGATATGGCAACAAAAGACTGCATCAGCTACTTCAGTTAGGGGTGAGCAGCAGGCAGGACGAGTTAGCTCAAGGATTAACCCTTAGCTTGCTATTGCAGGTTTGGGCGGGTAATTTATTTAAAAAAAAAAAAAAAAGAGAAGAGATAGAGATAAGAAGGGGAAGGACGAGCTAGCTGATTTCATTGGCAAAAAATAAAAAACTCCCTCATCTTCATCATTCACAATCACCATGAATCAGATCTACAAAAAATGAGGGGGGAAGAAGGCATTCAAACCAAATCTTAACGATTCATTAGGTCCAAAAATCATTATTTTGACGGGTCATGTTATGAGGAGTTATGGGTTAACCCTACATTTGAAATATATAATGAAAGAGTAAATATTCACCTGCAAAAATTTGGATTTTATTGGATTTCTATGTAGGGACCAATTTGATATGGTAATAAAAGAAAAAACAAAATAAAGATTTGTTAGAACCTTATCTCGTAAGAAAACAACATTATCTATTTACATCTAGATAAGAATTGTCTATGATAGAAAAAGAATACTTATTTAGTTATATATCAAAACAAGATGTACAAATTTTCAATAAACCAATACATTAAATGAAATCCACCACAATTCAATATATTATTCATGAAGTCCATGTATATTTTATTTGAATCGTTTCATTCATGAGGAGCTATATGAGGTAAAAATCTCATGTATAGTTTTGTAGTAGAGATGGAATTGAGAAAAAACCATCAACTATGACCAATAAAAAAAAGATTTTGTAAACAACATCGAGGAAGAATGATATCCTCTCGAGGCTTTACTTTAACCCACTTGGATCACATCTAGACAAATAGAAGCGGGATGGTGAGCAATGTCATGAAATACCCACTGCGAAAATTGTAATTATAGTTTTTTTTGTCTTTTTACTTCACCATTTGCATTGAAAGAATAGAGAAAAAGGCCTACAAATTGATGTGTATTAGGAACTAGTAATCGACGATATGCCTATATTGGTGGCATTATCATTGTTGTAATCAAGGAAGTAGTACCAACTACACTGTTAGAAAGATTAAAAGTGATCAGAGCTGTAATCGTACGTGCCTGTAAAGGACTCAAACATAACAACAGTATGATAATACAATATGATGATAATGCTGTAGTTGTCATTGGTCAAGAAGAAAATCCAAAAGGAAATTGAATTTTTGATGCAGGAATTGAGACAGTTCCCCAATAAAATAGTTTCATTAGCACTCAAAGTATTATAAGATGATACTATGATATATGTATAGTATTTGAATGAAATAGATTAATTAATAGATTGATCATGTCTCACGCATATCCCTTTTCTTTTGTAATTATTATAAAAAAAATTCTAATTATTAAAAAATAAAATATTTAAAAATTCAATAATTGATAAATAAAGATAAATATTCAATATAAATATAAAAAATCAATATAAAAATATAATATAATAAATCTCATTAATTAATAAAAATTAAAAAACAGTCATGTAATACTAATATTTAAAACTAAAGTAATATTAATAAAATTTTAATAATTTTAATTCTTTTTAATAATTAATAAATAACATGTTGATATATCTATCTATTAATATATAAAAGTAGAGTACAAGGCAGGACTAGCTGATAGCACGACACGTGGCATCGTCTATGGATAGATAAGTTTTCTTCTTTTTTTAAAAAAGAAATCCCACCTTTTTAAACTATTTTTTAACCATTTTCTACCTATGTTTCTAACAGTCCTATATAACCAGTTGGTGATCGTGTTTTGTTTAAACTAACAAACCCATAATTTTTTATTTTTTCAAATTATTTTATATGATCTGATTTATAAATTGATAAATTATAGGAAGAGCTATAATCACAAAATCTAGAAACGTGGGGCAATTTTTTATTATATATTTATCAGCAATTTCCTAAAATAACTTGGTTATGAGGATATTGGTTATGCCACTTAATATTTAAATTGGCCACTTAATATTTAAATTGATTTATAAATCTATCTATTATTAATATATAAAGGTAGAGTACAAAGCACGAATGGTTGACAGGCTGACACATGGCAGTGTAGATAAATGGTATTTAAAAAAAAAAAAGAAGAAGCCACAGTTCTATGTTTCTACCCATGTTCCACATGTTCCTGTACATAACTCCCCTATAGTGCCAAATAAATGTGTTTTATTTTTCTATTTTTTTACAAAAACCGAAATTCCCTGTGCGTCCCTATGTATAACTCACCTAATATCTGATACATAAGCTTCTAATTCTAATTCCTTTCATGTCATCACAAGTCATGGTGCATATATCGGACAGAAATAATTATTTATTCATGCAAGTAATTTTGGGTGGTTATGTAATTTCAAATTCGATTTATGAACATGGAGACTATACTGGATTTCAAATTCGATTTGTGAACATGGAGACTATACCAGCCATGACGTAGAGTACATATTTTCAATTTTGCATTAATTTCTTAGTACTATTTAAACTATCTGTTACTATTATAAGGGAGGGGTCTCTACAATGCTATCTAGAAGTATGACAAGTGGCGCAATAAGGAGGGAGATAAATACCTTAATTTTTTAATCATTTTTAAATAATGAGTAATCTTTTTTGCAATTTAATAAATCAATTAATATTTGTTTGTTAACTGCAGATTTCAATTATCCCAAATTTTTTTCCCTAAATATTTTGATTTAGCTCTGTTATTTTTTACCAGGAATAATTGTGTTAATTTTTAACTAACTAATTATTAAATTTATTATTTGTGCTTATTGAAATAGATATCTAACTGATAGCTTTGTTTTGGGGAATAACAATGCATATACAAATAAAAAACAAAACATTTGATCATTACATGTAAAAAAATCAGATATCATTTTACAAATTTATTTTTAATTTCCTAATTTCAAGTAATTTTGAATGTGAGCAATTTTTTGAATATATGGTAGCCATTAAATTGAAAAATTATCTCTTTTAAAGATGAATGTGGGCAGTTTTTTAATTACAATTAAGTGAAGTAATATTTTTTGTTTAGTTAAGATCATTAATTCCAAACAATGTGCTGTTGGTAAAACTACAAGCTACTAGCATGCCACATGGCACTCTCCCATCATAGATAAACCAAAAAATTTTTAATTAAAAATGAAAATTTGAAGGAATTTATGCGGTTGTGACTTTTGATCACTGCATCCACATTGTCTCGTATTTCAAGGCTTCATTTTGGGCAGTTTTCTGATTTAAAGTTACTATTTCATATTTTAAATTAATTTAATTAATATTTTAAATTTTGAATTAAAACTAATATTCCATTAAAAAGAGGCAATTGGTTATTCTTTGGGTTCAAATTAATATTTCAAATTTTAGATTACATTTAATAATCTTTCAAATATTAAATTAAAATTAAAATTTCCCAAAATTAAAATTTATATATTTTGAAAAGTATGAATTCACAAATATATTTATAAAATTAAAAAAAAAAATTGAATAGACTTATGTGCTCAAGTTGTTATGCTTTTGGGTGGAATATTTTGAGGATGGTTAGTCTTTCATATTTCAAATTAATATTTCATATTTTAAATTACATTTAATAAATATTTTAAATTTTAAATTAAAATTAAAATTAAAATTTCATAAAAACTGTCATATTTCTAAATCTGCTGCCTAATGGGAAGCGGTCTATCACTGAGCTGCCAAGACATGTTTTGTCTAAAGCCACTCCGCTACCATTGTATCTCTGACTCTTTTGATTCCTAAACTCAACCTCTTCTCCATGATCAACATCAGGTACGTCTTTTTAGTGTTATTGTTTAAATCTGTATCCAAATTAGCTTACTCTACAAACGAGATCTTATAATTAAGAATGAAGATAGTATATGTTTTCTAGAGCTCACTGCTTTGCCAATTTTGTAAGCAGTTAAATTCCCGGATTGTTTTAATTATTAGCCAAAACTTGTACAATTTTTAAACACTTGCTTTAAAAATAAAACTCATGATGTCATATAGATAATAACTGCTCTATGTGACAATATAAATTGTACAAGTGTTTTTTTTTTTTTTTGCCAACAAATTGTACAAGTGTTTTAAAATAGCAACCATGCTGTTTTACTTTTATTCAACTTAAGAATTAGAGTTTTAGGGTTCAGGGTTGATCATTTAACTCCGAAACCCACTTTTTCTTCAAAAAATAAACATCCCGTGTGACATATGGATTTGGGTGATGCTTGCTCTGTCTTGTCCATTCATCCTGGTAAAGCAGTTATACTGAATCTATCTATTACTACATACACATTTTGTCATGTCTACATGTTTATTTAAGGTCAAAGAAATTATGAAGCTTTCCAATTTTTGCCTCCTATGTTGCATTTTTCATGAAAGTTATAAAATTAAAAAAATATAAATTTTCAATTTGCTAAGAATTTGTTTTAAGATTTTATATTTGAGATTATTGCTGCTTTAATATTTTGCATTATTTTAACTTCCCATTATTCCTATTTTGCCTCCCATGTGAACATTTTTTTTAAGAGTTATGAATTTTTGAATTTAACATTTGAAATTGGTGGAAGATCGTAACTTATATATTTATGATCAATGATTTCAATTTGAATTTATTAATTGAGTTATTTGAATTTGTTTTAGATTCTAGACCTAGTTTATATGATTGTCTATATATCTCGTGAAAGGTATTTCAAATTCACAATCTATATCTTTCACCTTTTGAAATATATCCTTCCCAGTCAACAGTGTAGGTGCCTTACCTTCTTCTGAATTCCCATTGAAATATTTTTAAAATCGCCAGTAAGGATGATCACGATGCAACCATCTATGATGTCCCATATATAAA